GAAAGTGAGAGATCACCCCTGGTGGGACAACCAGGCTGCATTTCCTCCTCCAGTCTCCTCTCGGAATTTTGGGCATGCACGCACACGAGCCTGGCGTGAGTTTGGCGTTTTGCACGGGCCGTCTCCGTGAAAAGTCTGACGGAATAACAGGTGACTGTTCCAGCCAGGCTTCTGCCTCTGGCCTGAGTTTCAAGCTGCTGGGTCCTGGGCTTGAACCGCAGTCAACCACATGGGAGCCCAGAGCCATAACCATTATGCCACCTGCTGGTCTCATATTATTATTATTTTAAATTTGCTATAGTGCATGTGTGCTCACCAGAGAGAGAGAAAGAGAGAGAGAGAGAGAGAGAAAACGAGAAAGCAAGCTGCTACAACCGGGACTCAAACCATAGTTAGCCATGTGGCAGTTCAGCACCTTCACCACCACGCCACCTGCTGGCCCCAACTTTTTAATTTTTTTAAAAATTTTATGAGGTAGAAGGCGAGACCAGCCCCTGCGAGGTGAGGGTCTTGCCACACTGCAGTCCTCCCTCCAGCCTTAGCCGGCCAGGATTGTGGGTGTGCCCAACATGTCCAGGTCACCCAGGACCCAACCTGGGCCTCTTCCTAGGACTGCGGGATTGTGCAGTGGTGCCCTGCCACCTGTGCCACGCTGGCTAGGCCACTTCCCAGAGAGCTAAGCCTTTCTGCAAGAATCCTTTTTAAATTTGTGTTAGTAAGTAGTAAAACAGCCCACCTCTGGATTGCCTGCTTGACCACCGTGAAACCGAGAGGTTGTTATTTGTGTGTCTGCGCCGCGCTGGTGAATTGATTTGGGTTTCACAATGTGTGAGAGCCAGCATGAAACTTGTGTAGCTTTATGGACTTGTGTTTACTGAAAAGTATCACAGTCGCAGCAGTCAGGCGTCTGCACTAACTCCTTTCTGTTTAGAGAAGGTCTGCACTTTGATTTGGAGAAACTGCTTTCCTGAGCTTCGGGGTAGAACACAGTTCGCACTTTTTCCTGATTCGGGAGAGTGAGGAAAAACTTGTTAGCATCTATATCGGCGACAGAGCAGCAGGTTTTTGAGCACTGACCTTGCTGCGGAAAAGACACCCGAGACGCCGTTTTCTTGGAGCCTGGGATCCATGAGGGAAGTCAGATAATTACAGGTGGTTACGAGTGAAATGCGTGTCACAAATCAGGGTGTCCACTGCCTGTGGGCCCCCGACGGTGCCCTGTAATCTTCTCTTCCTTCAGCCCCCGCCACACCCGTCTTCCTGCGCTTTCCCTGTGGCCTGGTCTAGCAAAGCGTCGTGCGGGAACTCCCTGGGCTTCCTTACTGCCCCTGCTCTTCCTCAGGGAGAGGCACCCCTCTCATCCGGTGGTCTTCTCCCCGTGGTCAAGGGCCGTCACTGTCCGAGGCCAAGGAGGCCTGGGGCCGTCACTTTTCCTTTCCTCTTTGCATTTTGGAATATTCGCATTATATGAGGAATCTTCCAAAGGTTGATGGAAATTGCATATTATGAAATAACTATGCATTGATTTAAAAAACCTTTGGTACCAGATTCGTATATATCTTTTCACAAAGTTTGTTGGAAGCGCTCTCATACGTAAGATACCATAGGGCTGGGAGCCAAATCTAAACTTTGTTTTGTATGCACCTTTTACACATAGCTTGAAGGTAATCATATACAATATTTTTGTCATCGTATTGGCTGTGACTTGTCACATGACATCAGTCATTTTCCACTTGTGGCATCTTCTTGGCACTCAGAAAGTTTTGGATTTGGGAGCATTTTGGATTTTGGATTTTCAGCTTAAGGATGCTCAGCCTGGACTGCCTTAGAAGGTTTTGAAGTGTAAGACTCTGGTACCTCTTGTTCCACATCCTCCATGCAGGCAGAGGGCAGTTCAGTCCCTCACCGGGTAGGGCCCGGGACTCAGGACCGAGGACTCAGGACCCAGGGGGCGTCCGAGTCTTTCCTGCAATCACTCACTCTCCAGCTCTCTGCTGCTGCTCGGCTCTCCTTCATTCTCAACCACAGTCGTTTCTGTTGCCTCTCTGGCCCTCTGCAGGAGTCACCAGCCAATGGCAGCACCTTTCAGTTTCTTGCCAGGGCATGGCCAGTCAGGAGGGGTGGCAGCTGTCTCAGCTGTTTCCTGCCGGTGTCCCGTTCTCGCAGCAGCTCTTCCTCACTGCAGCCCCGTTTGCTGCTGGGTTTGGAGGGCGTCCAAGGCTGGAGGGCTTCCGAGGGCTGGGCCTTGGCCTGCCAGGGTTTGTGGGAGAAGAGGACCGAGCCATTTAAAGTCGTAGTTGAAAGCTGCGTGGCCTCAGAATTTGAGGAGACGTCGCTGTCACCTGGCACCTTCCTCTCTGTGGGGATGCTCTGAACTGTGTGACACTGGAGAGGTTTCTCGAGGAGGCCTGGTGGGCGGTAAAGGAGCTGGAGTAGCGTCCCGAAGACGCCTGCGTGTCCATATATGGAACAAGTATTTGTTCTGTTCCCTGGTGCGGGTCTGCCTGCGAGTCTGCCGGGAGCCCCGTTCATCACCACGGGTGTCCTCGGGAGGCTGCGCGTTCTGCGTCCTGGTGACCTCAGAGCCCTTAGACCAGAGCGTGTTTGCACTTCCTGCACAGCAAGCCTCGTAGGCAGGCCTGAGAGGGTGAGTTGCTGGGTGGGGAACTTTGTCACACTCCGCTTTCGTGGGTCTCTGGGATGCAGTCACAAGTGATACGGAAGCTAAACCGAGCTCCGGGCAGAATAGAAGCTGCTGGCCTGAGCAGATGGCAGTGCGGGTGACTGTGCCAGTTACTCTGGTCTCTTTCTCTGGGCTGGCCTCACAAGCAGGGGACACGCCAGCCCCCAGCTCAGAGCAGCCTCCCAGAATGTGAACCCTCGGAGATGCAGGTCTTTACAGAAATGTTCACTGTTCATATGGAATCCGGTCAACTTTTTTCAGGAAATGTACCAAGAGAAAACATTCTACAAAGTTAAACTGGGCTGTAATCATTTACATAAAGAAAGCAAAAAGAAGACAAGACTAACAGAGAAACACAAAAACCCCATTGTCTTTGTATAATGTATATAAAACTCTGTCATTTCCAGGTCTCTGTGGTTACTGGATGTTTTTATGGACCGTTATTTTTATGTTCCTCTCAGCTTAGTGTTACTTGACATCCCAAATTGTCCCGTCAACCCTTTCATGTTGCGTGCCGATTGTTGAAGTGACTGCCTGGTGGTCGGAACGTCGGCCTTGTCGGGTACCATGTTTGCGTGTTTGCCTGCTGTTGCGTGGATTATGTGTACGTGTGTCTCCTTTTACATTTTACATGATCTCCTCAGGGTGAACTCTCAGTAGCTGAATTACTACATGAGAGGGTAGAAACATTTCTAAATAGTTTCGGTATGGGTTAACACACTATTTCCCCTCCAGTTGGAGCAGTTTACAGAGTTACCAGTGCTTTCTTCCAGACTTCTGCTAGCCATCTTTTTTCCTTTTCTTGCTTATTAACCTTATAACGCCTTAACTAATACATATTTTGGTAACTGGATGAGGCTAAACATAAATTTTTGGGTATCTGCCTTTTGGGTATTTCTGGTGGGGGCAGATGTTTGTATGATTGTCAGACTGGCTGTTAGCCAGGAGGAGTAGGATGTGGTTAAGGGACAGAGTCAAGGACCTGTGGTGGCCAGAGCTCGCTGCCTAAGTCTGATAAGGTAGAGATGATATCGCTGTGAAAGCTTTTTTAAAACATTAATTAAGAATTATTTATTTAACTTCATTTATTATTATTATTTAAATTTGCTCTCAGGCACGTGCACTTAGCAGAGAGATACAGAGGGAGAGAGGGAAGATGAGAAAGCAAGCTGGCAGGTCCAAGACTCGAACGGGGGTCAGCCATGTGGGAGTCCAGTGCCTTAACCATCACACCACCGTTGTGAAAGCTTTGATTCAGAGGAAATAGTTACATCTAATCTAAGGATTAGAGATTAGGGTAGTCTCCTTAATATACAGAATATTACCTGATTTTTTTCTTTAGAGATCCTGGAAGACACAAGAATCTTAGAGGGTCTTTTTATACCTTGTCTTGTTTTGTTTTTTGGTCTTGCTTGTAGATCTGGAAAACGTAGGGAATTAAACTGAATGTTTTACTAATTCCATGCACAGAAGTTGGTTATTTTTAGAAAGGGGAAATAATAACAGGAGATCAAATTCTGAAACTGAGATGTTGCCTCATGCAAGTTACCCTGAGGAGAAATAGTCTGTAAAGAGTTGTAGGCAGTGCGACTCCATCAGGTGTCTGAAAAGTTCTTGCAAACCGACATTGACGCTGAGGTCACGAGGCGTCTGCACGTGCGCATTTATAACAGCAGACAATGGAGTTAGAGGTTCCGTGGCCGAAGCCCACGGATTGCTTTTACGATATAAAGGGAACCCTCACAGTCATTCTTTTTTTTCTTTTTTTTTTTTCTGTTTTTGGAAAGGTCTTTGCTATAGGGCGTGTGTGCTCGCTAGAAAGACAGAGAGAGAGAGACAGAAAGCAAGAAATCACCCCCCAGTGGGGATGGCCACACTGCAATCCCTTCTCCTCCATTCTCCTCTCGGGATCTTGGGCACGCATGCACACGTGCCCGGCGTGAGTTTAAGCCACTGCGTCTGGGACTTGAACCGCGGTCGACTACATGGGAGTCCAGCCACATGGCCGTTACACTAACTGCTGATCCCCATAGTCATTCTTTTTTGAGCACCATTAATTAAGCGTTAAAATATATTTGATTGAGAGAAGGCAGGAATGGATTCTGAGGATCCATGTCGAAGCTATTACACCTTAGCCTGGTCACCGCTGAGGAGGAGAGATGGACCATAGGCGTGTGGGGAGGGCTTGGGGAAAAGTAGCTTGAGAGGTGTTGCGTTTACAAAATCAAGAGAAGGTAAGGTGAGTGGACTGTGGTATATCGGATGCATTTTCTTATTTCTTTATTGTTAATATAATGATGTGTGCTTTATCTTTCAGATGAATTTGCAGCTGGCTTTCTGGCTGGGACTAATCGTTTCAGTGTGCTGTGTGTTCGGCCAGACAGGTACAGTGTTCCTCCTTGTCTCTTCCTTTCAGTATGTTGTATCACTCCCTAACCAGCTGGACCCCATAGCTAGGTCAGGTCGTGCTGCTCCTTCCACGAGCCTGGTTGTGGCCCCTCTCACTCAGAGGAAAGGGCCTACAGGATTCTTCATGATCATAATGCCGTCACCCTGGCCACCCAAGCTGGCTGGTGACATTCTAAAACGACACACGTAGCACAGACTTCTAAAGGATCTTTCGAGAGATTGAAAGACTGTGTTAGGTGAGTACAGAGGCCACACAGGCATGCAGTGTATTTAGATCCAGGTGAACAATAGATGGAATGGCAGATTACCCATCACGGTCTAAAACCTGAAACCAGGATTAATTGACTTTCCATTGGGTCGTCGGGAAAGTCAGGGCACGTTTTTACAAAACGTGGAAAAAATATGTCAGGACTTTTCCCAAGACCCAATAGAAGATGTTCTTGCTCTGTGATCAAGAAGTCTTGCCAAATGTTGCCATCATCTAGAAGAGCAGTGAAAATGTATTTGACCCTTTATAAACCACGATGCCTCATCTGGAGTAATGATACCCAGTTCTCCAGATATCGACAGAATGTACGACACAGAACCACTGGAGTGATTTGGTCTCAGGCGGGAAGGATTTACTACATGTGAGAAAAAAGAAAAAAGGAAGAAACCATAAAGAAAATTTTGATAAGTTCGAGTTACATAAAACAACAGCAAACCCCTGATATCTCTATGCCAAAACACCATAAGCAAGCTGAGAAGCTAAACAGAGATGTAAGTTTAGTACTGTGTGCAGAAATCCAGGACAAATCTGTGAACGCAAGTGATAAGAGGAAAACGTGCAAAAGATAGAAAATTCACCCAAAACAGTCAGTGATAATATGAGAAAAACATGACACAAATAATAATTGAATTGATATTCTACTTGTTGCATAAGTGACATTTTTGATATTAAGGTACTTGGTGTTGATGGAGGTATGGCGACATAGTGTTTTTATACCATTTTTGGAGTATAAATTAGTATATTACTTCTAGATAGAAATGAGTGTGTATTAAGAATTTTTAAATGTTGATATATACTTGAACTTGGTAATTTTTTAAAAAATGTGCTATAAGGAAATGACCAGTTGTGTACTGAGAGTTCTACGTAGGGGTGCTCATTAGAGCACGTGTATATATGGTGTTTTACACACACATACGGTATCTGTGTACACGTACATGTGAACAAGCATGTCACACATACAGACACAGCTGGGAACAATCTAGATTGGTCCAACATTAAAAGTTTGTATAATGAAATGCATAATCATTTAAAACCACATTTTGAATTATTTGTCATGATGTGAATGAAACACTTAGAGTAAGATATAAAAGCGATTTACAAAACTTTACATGTAAACTATATCACCAATTTCATTTTTTTTTTTTTTTTTGGAGAGGTTTTCACTATAGGATGCGTGTGCTCGCCAGACAGACAGACAGAGAGAGACACAGAGACAGAAAGCGAGAAATCACCCCCCAGGGGGGATGGTCACGCCGCAATCCCTTTTCCTCCATTCTCCTCTCGGGATCTTGGGCACGCACGCACACGCGCCCGGCGTGAGTTTTAAGCCACCAGGTCCAGGACGCGAACCGCAGTCGACTACATGGGAGTCCAGTGACATAGCCATTACGCTAACTGCTGGTTCCCAACCAGTTTCATTTTAATAATGTTTCTATATATGCTTGTTTCCGTGCCGTCTCTTGATCAATCTGTATAAACTACGAAAATACAAAATACCCTTTAACCGGGGTTATCTCTTAGTGAATAGATTATGGGCCATTTTTACTTTGTTATGCTTTGATGTGCTTGCCCGGTTTTCTGTAATGAGCATGTCTTAGGTTCAGGGGCAGAAATACGTGTGGAAGACAGTCCTTACAAATGCTTTTCACATGAAAGGCATGCCGGTCCTTAGGTGGATTCAGAGAACCGTAAAATGTATTTGGAACACAGAGCCTGAAAAACCATGAGATTGCAGGTTGAGTGAATATGCACCTTTCTGTTACTGAATGTACCAAAAATCTAAAAATGGAGGGAAAACCCTGAGGGTGTTCTGGCAGGGTGGACTGTGGGGACTGGCAATACGAATCAGAGGAAAGAAATGACTTTGCCCAGATGACAGAGAACTCATGACTTACGACCATCTAAAACGGTAGATTCTGAAATGATGCCTTTGGAAAGAAAGGATAAAAGTATTTGTAGATTAAAGGTACCTCGCTCTTATGGAAGACAAAGATGACGGCTTCTGTGGCCTCCAGCGCCGACGACGTCAAGTCTCTGGATCGGCATGGATGGGCTTGGTAACTTGTCGTAGTACTTACATGTATACATTGCATTATTTGTCATCCTGATTTTTCATCTTCTCTGAAACATCAGGTAAAATGGTCTCTTCTTTCTTTCGCCCAACAGATGAAAATAGATGTTTAAAAGTAAACGCAAAGTCATGTGGAGAGTGTATCCAAGCAGGGCCCAACTGCGGGTGGTGCACAAACGCAGTAAGTGGGGTCGCTCCGTCCTCGCCGTTCATTCTCTCGTCCTTGGTGGTGCCCGGCGCCGTCCTGGGGAAGCTGTCGCGAGGGGCGTTCACCCCAGCCAGTGTTCACAGACTGCTGTGGTGGTCTAGCCTACGCCGGTCAGCACGGTGCCCCAGGGCACATGTGCTGCCGAGCACCGGAAGTGTGGGTGGTACACGCCGAGAATTATGCTCTGAGTCTCACACATAGCAGATTTTGAATACATCATTTAAAAAACAGCAATAGTGTTGAAGTGATGATATTATGTATATGAAGATAGACATATTTTAGATTTTTTCCCTTTTTTTGGAGAGGTCTTTGCTATAGGACACATGTGCTCATCAGAAAGACAGAGAGAAAGAGAGTCAGAAAGCAAGAAATTACCATCCAGAAGGAATGGTCATACCGCAATCCCTTCTCCTCCATTCTCCTCTCGGGATCTTGGGCACGCATACACATGTGCCTGGCATGAGTTTAAGCCACCAGGTCCAGGACTCGAACTATGGTTGACTACATGGGAGTCCAGCGACATAGCCATTACACCAACTGCTGGTCCCTTTGTTTTTATATGAGAGCACTTATGCTTTGGATTGAAAGGAGTATTTTTTAGATGCTAGAAATGGAGTACTTTAGGTGTCATTTGATTTGTGCTAATTAGTGGTGCGTTTGCAATTACCACTAGGTAAAGGAGTTTGACCACTACACCTTTTCTCTGTGCCTGTATTTTGTGCGTCATTTAGACATTCTTGCAAGAAGGCATGCCTACTTCTGCGCGCTGCGATGACTTAGAAGCCTTAAAAAAGAAGGGGTGCCATCCAGATGACATAGAAAACCCCAGAGGCTCCAAACATATAAAGAAAAATAAAAATGTAACCAACCGTAGCAAAGGAACAGCAGAGAAGCTCCAGCCTGAAGATATCACCCAGATCCAGCCCCAGCAGTTGGTTTTGCAGTTACGATCAGGTACAGGCGTCAGCTCTGAGCACCTGTGCTGCTCCCTGAGGCTCTGGGGACCCGCTTTAGTCAAACCTGCTCTCAGTTTCTGTCGAGGGCTCATTTTGGCATGGGGATTGGCACATGAACAAAATGTGGAATAGGTTAAATATTAGAAATATATGCACAATGATTTTTATGACACATTTATTTGGAATAATATGAAATATTGCCAAATGTCCAAAGTATGTTCTGTGAAGGATTCAGAAAGTATTAGTTTGATTTAATGGCTTTTAAAAGTAACATTGTTCCATCTCTGATATAAATTACATAATGGGAAAGTTTTAACCTATGTTTTTCCTTGTGTTTGTTTAATGTTCCTAAAATATTAAGATTTTATGAGTAGCGGTGGTAGTCCCACATCTAGAAATAAAAACGTAAGCCCTGTCCCTCTCCCTGTCCTTCTTGCTACCTTCCCTTCTTCCCAGAGGGATGGTGGGTGCCTTCGCTCCCGTCCAGTCTTCCACTTGCTGCAGTCAGGCCCCTCCTGCTGACCTGTGCCTACAGAGCTGCCCTGTCACCTCGAGCCATCAGACCTACCAGAGACTCTTGGAGCCTTTTTATTAATTCCCAGAGAGAGAGAAAGAGAAAATACTCTGGTGGGGTGTGGTAATGCCACAACCTTTCCTTCTCCATTTTTGTATCCCATCAGGATTTTGGGCCTGCAAGCATCTGCCCTCAGCCTGGTTTTCAAGACACCAGGCCAGGATTCAGACTGTGGTGGGCTGTGTGGGATCCAGCTCCCCATGTGGGCTGTCTGGAGTCTCGTTTGATTTTGCTTTAAACCTTTTTATACTTGTACTTCTTGAGATGTTTGCATGATATCAGTCCTCATTGTCCCTTCTTATCTCCTGTTGCTTTCCGGGCTCTTTCGGTGGTTTTTCCTCTTCTCCTTTCCCTTCTTCTTTGTAATCCACTTCATTGCTGCTTTTTCTCTTGTGGCTGTAAGAGCTGTTTGGATCCTGCAGCACCACTGACTTTTCTCTTCATCTCCTAACCGATTTCTCCAACTGCCGGCTGGAAATCCATACAGAAAACTACTTACTTAAAAATGCAATGCTTTTTCATTCAAACATTCTCTCTTTGCTGTATTTACCAAGTGGATTATACCTAACTCCTTTTGTACTAATTATCCTCATTTTAGTTTAGATCTTTCTCATTTTCCATTCAGTTTTTTGTTTTGTTTTGTTTTTCTTTTAGGTTTTTGCTATAAGGCGTGTGTGTACACCAGAGAGTGAGGGAAAGTGAGAAATCACCACCAGGGGGTTGGCCACTTCACGGTCCCTTTTCCTCCATCCGCCTTTTGAGATTTGGGGTGTGCGCACACATGCACTTGGTGTGATTTTTTAAGCCACTAGATCTGGGTCTCAAACGGTGGTTGGCCTTGTGGAAGTCTAGCGCTTTAACCACTATGTCTACCTGACCCCCACAGCTTTTTATTAAGTCTCTTTATGTCTATAATTCATCTTCAAAGCTTTTTGCCAAATCCTCTCAAATAAATTTAGATTATGTTACTCTCTTGTCTCTAGCTGCGTCCCATCACGCAGAACACCGCTCCCACTTGTAACCTCAGTCTCACAAGGACAGGTGACCCTGTCCTGTGCCCTGCCTTGCCCTCCCCAGTCTAGTTTATAGGGTGCTGTGTGTCTTCCTCTCTCAGTTATAGATCGTCCTGTTGTGGATTGGGGATGTTCTCCTTTTCATCTTTGTATCCCTAAGGCCTGGTGTCTTAACCGTTGATTGAATGAAATTGAGTATGTACCCAGTAAATTACTTAGAGAACTCCCAGGTTAATGCAAAACTTTCTTGTTATGGTGTTTACCACGTAAGTCAGATGTGTTTGGTTGTTCTCATTTGCCTTCGATTTGCCAGCAAGCTTGTGTCAGTTTCCAGTATCTGTTCACAGGGGAGCCGCAGACGTTCACGTTAAAATTCAAGCGAGCCGAGGACTACCCCATTGACCTCTACTACCTGATGGACCTCTCCTACTCCATGAAAGACGACCTGGAGAACGTAAAGAGTCTCGGCACAGACCTAATGAATGAAATGAGGAGGATCACTTCGGACTTCCGAATTGGTAGGGACGCTGGGGAACTGACTTTCATGGGTGTGAGCCTCGTGGGTCCTGCTTTCCTCCTTTTTGGTTCACTACACACTCGCTGGTGTTGGGCCTTTCCATTCGGAGAGGAAACTGGTAGCCCTGGCACGGTGTAGTGTCCTTTCTGCCACCTTGCTCCTCTGTCACTGTATGCAAGGACACACTTGGACACAGAGTGTGTGTCACCGGTAATGAAGCGTGGGCTCATGTTTACAGAAAGTATTCGTTCCACAGTTGGTTGATGATACCGCCGTGTAGAACACCCAGACTCTGTCTCATTTCTGAGTAGTGTGACACACCCACCCATGCAGCCTACCCTCCCTTCAGACCTCAGGTTTTGGGTTTTTTGTGTGTTCATTTTGTTCTTTTTTGTTTGTTTTAGGTTTTCTGTAGTATATGTGGGCTTGCCAGACTGGGGGAAAGGGGAGAAATAGGGGGGAAGAGAGAAAGAAATCTGTCCCCCTCCCCAGGAGATGGCCACGCTAGAGTCCCTCCTTCTCCATTCTCTTTTAGGAATTTTGGGCACACACACACGCTCTGGTGTGAGCTTCAAGCCACTGGGTCCGAGACTCAAACCGTGGTCAGCCATGTGGGAGTCCAGCACCTTAAACACCATGCCACCTGCTGGTCCCTTCTTGTAAAGTGGGTAGACAGAAGGAAAAAAATCCGCTTGTATCAGCCATGTAGGCTGCTGTCATAAAGTGCTGTAGACCAGGGGGCTTGTAAACAGCGGAAATCGGTTTCTCACAGGTCCGGAGCCTGGGAAGACTCAAGATCGAGGCACATTTCATGTTTAGTGAGATTGTACAGTTCCTATTGGGTTTGTCAGAAAAGTCATGATGCATTTTTGCATAGAAAACCGGAAACATACATCATTACTTTTCCACGGACCCAATGGCGTCTTCTCACTGTGTCCTCACGTGGTAGGAAGGGGACAGCCGCTCTCGGGGTTCTCTTTTACCAAGGGCAGTCATCTCACTCGTGAGGGCTCCGTCCTCACGATCTGACCATTCCCCAAAGGCCCTGCAGCTGAACACCATCACATCAGGGGTTAAGTTTTCACCCTAAGAATTTAGGGGCAGCACGGACGTTCAGCTGTGGCCACTCACGTGGGGTAGCACTCTCGGCGGCTTTTTAATGCGAGTTTGTCTCTCTGCCCGCGTTATCTGTCGTCTGTCCATCTATCCTTGTGCATTTCCCCCCAGGATTTGGCTCATTTGTGGAGAAAACCGTGATGCCCTACATTAGCACGACGCCAGCCAAGCTCAGGAACCCTTGCACGAGTGAACAGAACTGCACCAGCCCCTTTAGCTACAAAAACGTGCTCAGCCTTACTGACAAAGGAGAAGTGTTCAATGAGCTCGTCGGGAAACAGCGCATATCTGGGAACTTGGATTCTCCGGAAGGTGGCTTCGACGCCATCATGCAGGTTGCAGTGTGTGGAGTAAGTACGTTTGCTTCCTGTGTGTGAATGTGTGACTGTTATTATCTGTGCAAATTTTACATGCAGTTTTACTGTCAGTTCGTAGAAAAATTACCTTCATTGCCATCTCATTTGATTACCCCAGAGAAGACAGGTATTAATCCCTTAAATTCCTTCCAACTACAAGTACTTTTATAAAGGTATATTTGGTAACTGTGTCCCTATTGTAAGTGAGGGACTTTGGGTATTTTTGTTTTTTTGCCAGAGGGCGCATGTGCTAACCAGAGCTACAGAGAGAGAGAGATTGAGAGGGAGAAAGCACCCCCAGAGGAAGTGATATCATGCCCCAAACCCTTCTCTTTCCTTTCTCCTCTTGAGATTACGGTCATGCACACACAGGCCTGGCATATTTTTCAAGCCTCTGGGGCTGGGATTCAAACCATGGTTGGCTGTGTGGGTATAACTCCCTTAACCACTAGGCCACGGGTCTGCCTCTCATATAGGGTTTTAAAAGCCGGCGTTATAACCATGAAAACAGCGGGGCAGCGTCGCTGTGCGTGAGCAGGCATTCTGCGTTTTAGAAGAGGCTCAAGTGTCCCCACGTTGTGGCTGTGTGCTGGAGGTGGGATCCGTGTGATCAGGTGATCAGAGACGTCACCAGGAACCAGAGTGCTCACGTGGAGTACTGACAGCTTTTTTTTTTTTTTACTGTGCCTTAGCAAGTCAGAAAGAAAAGTTTTCTTTTATTCTGTAGGGCGTATGCACTCCCCAGAGAGAGACAGAGAGAGAGAAAGTGAGAAATTACCCCTCCATGGGGTCTGGCCATGCCACAGTCCCTTTTCCATTCTCTTCTCAGGATCTTATTCTTTTTTTTTTTTGAGAAATGTTTGCTATAGGGTGCATGTGCTCACCGGAGAGACCAAGGGAGACAGAGAGACAGAAAGCAAGAAATCACCCCCATGGAGGATGGCCATGCCGCAGTTTTTTCTCTTCCATTTTCCTCTTGGGATTTTGGGCATGCACATAAACACGTCCAGTGTGAGTTTCAAGCCACCAGGTCCAGGATTTGAACTGCAGTTGGCCATGTGGGAGTCTAGCCAACTTAACCACCACACCACCTGCAGACCCCCTTCTCTCAGGATTTTGGGCATACACGCACACATGCCTGGAGTGATTTTCAAGCTGCTGGGTCTGGGACTCAAACCACCATCAGTCGTTTGAGAGTTCAGCACCTTAAACACCACACACCACCTGCTGGCCCCAAAAAATAGTTTTTGGAATGAGGAATGTGGGCAATCAGGCAAGACTGATTGATGCACAGTGGGTGAAGGAATCCCATTCCACGGGCTCTGCGTGTTTATCAGCAAGATGGTGAAGAGGGAAAATGCCTAATTAGGTTAAAAGGCCAGTGGTAGCCCACTGAAAAGTTGAAATTTATGGGGAATCAGAGTGCACCGTGCTCTTAAACTGAAAGCCACCTTCTTTCTAGTCACTGATTGGGTGGAGGAATGTCACACGGCTGCTGGTGTTCTCCACTGACGCCGGCTTTCACTTCGCGGGAGATGGCAAGCTGGGTGGCATTGTTTTACCCAACGACGGACGGTGTCACCTGGAGAATGACGTCTACACCATGAGCCATTATTACGTAAGTGCCCAGCTCCGTCCTGAGTGCACGTGTGTGTTGACTGTGTTTAATACTAGAGTACTGGGACTGCGTTGTGGGCCTTGTGGGGCTGGGGACTTTGTGGTGAGCGCCGGCCCCGGCTTAGTGTTCGGGACAGCTGGTGTTGCCTTTGGTCCGAATATGGCCTCACGTTGGCCTCCTTCCCTGACATGAGGCTCACTGGGGTGGGACGGGGGCCATCAGGCAGTGTCTACTCTCCTGTACATACAACACGTGATAGCAACATGGATATTGTTCCTAAAAGTTGTCTAATCTCACACTCTTTATTTTATTTAGATGATTTTTTTGAAAAGAATTATTTTGTCCAACTTTATTCTTTTTTTTTTCCAATTGAATAAGAGAAAGACAGAGAGAGGGAGAGTGAGAAAGCGAGCTACCAGGTCCTCGACTCGAACCATGGTCAGCCATATGGGAGTCCAGCATCTTTAGCCACCACACCATCTGCCAGCCCTATCTTTTTAAAGAAGGTATCCTACCTTTATCGAAAATAAAGATGGACAGATTATTCAAATTGGAGAAGAAATCCAAACACTGGGAACTCGGTCTCTTTCTTTAGTGATAACAGGGCCTTACCTACAGTGTCAGTTCTTTCATTTTAGTGTCCCTGTATTGGATATACGTAGATAATCTTCCTGCTTAAAGCCTTTTCATTATGACCCTTTTTAATACATAAAAACGGGAGAAGGGGATTTGAAACCCACACTCACTATACTCACTTTAGCATTCGTATGTGATGCTCTCACTTGAAAGCAGTCTCCTGTAAGTAACTGGATTCAGTTACACATGCAGATTGCTATTTTCAAAAAGAATGGAAAAGTTGGGATGGATAGGAAGGGTGTCTTTACATACTAAATTATGTTACTTAATTTTCCAGGACTATCCCTCAATTGCTCACCTTGTCCAGAAACTCAGTGAAAATAACATTCAGACCATTTTTGCAGTTACTGAAGAATTCCAGCCCGTTTACAAGGTAAAGATGTATGAGATATAAAGATCAAAAGTTTCTAGTTTTTTGTTTTAGTCACTGGAGTAAAAATGTATATGTTTGAACTGAAATGTAGGAAAATGACATCATGTAAATAAACTGAATTTTAGAATATTAGGGTTTTCTTTTTTAATTTTTTAATTTTTTTTTTGCCATAAGGCACATGCACTCAAAAAGAAACACAGAGTGGAGAGAGAGAGAGCGCGCGAGTGCACGCATGTGCGCGCGCTCAGGTGAGAAAGCACCCTCAAGAGGGGAGGTGGCCAGGCCTCAGTCTCGCTTCTCCTTTCTCCCCTTGGACTTCAGGCTTCATACGCTCACGCCCAGTGCACGTAAGCTGTTGGGTCAGAACTCTAACCACACAGCCTGACGTGTGGGATCCTGCTGTCTTTAGCTCCACGCCACCTCCTGGCCCACAATATTAGTTTTTAATCACAAATTATACAACTAATTGTGTTTCTGTTTTTTCTTCCGGTTTGACTCCTAAGGTTAATTAAAAAATATGTTGGGGACTGGTTTGTAAAGATGAATGTTAGTTGCTCAGAAGATGATAACTTGTAGAATGAATAGAATTTAATTTACGTGGTCTGTTGTTGATTTGCAGGAGCTGAAAAATCTGATCCCCAAGTCAGCAGTAGGAACGTTATCTGCAAACTCGAGCAATGTGATTCAGTTGATCATTGATGCATACAACGTGAGTCGCTTTGAAATGAGATGAGTTTTGGACAGTTCTGTCGAGAATACTTTGCACAAAGAAAGTAAAACTTCCTCCATGAGCAATTCAGTAAGCCTACAGGAAAATAAAAATTAGTTATTAATAGATTCTGTGTCTGGAGGAAACGCTTTATATTGTCTTATGAAAGTGTAGCCTAAGGAAAGCGAAAATGTGGTGAGTGCATATGGGTAAAATGTCTAAGTCTCTGTATGTCCCTGAGCCCTCCAAGTCAAGCTCTCCGATTACATCACGTGAAACATAACTTGCGTTGAGCTTTGTGGGATTCCTCAGTTTCCTCTTGTTTGACGAATGGTGCTGGAAACGCTTTTTGTGAATTCTTTTCTTGCCCTCTATTCAGATGAGACAGTTTGGTATTTTTAAGAGGTACACACTCTCCTGCGTGTATATACACATATATATACATACACACATACACACACATATATATGTGTATATACAGTAAAGTATGTTAAAGTGTAAATATTGCGTATATGACTTGCCGCTTTTAAAAGGGATTTATAGGATTATTTTTCCCCTACATGTGGAAGGAAATTGAAATTAAAAGGGAATTATCATTTGGGGTACCATTCATAATGCCTATGAAGCATTGGTTAATCACTGTTTTTAAATTTTATTTTTTCATTGTTTATTCATGTATTTTGTTACATGACACATGTGTACTCAGCAGATAGAAAGAGGGGAAGTGAGAAATCAACCCCTGGGCGGATGGCCAGCAGCTCTTCCTTCTCTAGTCTCCTCGTGTTTGGGCATGCATGCACATGCGCCTGGTGTGATTTTCAAGCCACCAGTTCTGAGTCTTGAAGTCCGCCATGTGGAATCCAGTCTCTTAACCTCCACACCACCTGCTGGCCCAGTTAATGATCATGTTAAATGATGTATAGGCATTTGTTTTGTTTTGTTTTGTTTTTGCCTTAGGGTACATGCACTCACTTGAGAGAGAGAGAGACAGAGACAGTGAGAGGGAAAGTGAGCAATCATTCCCCAGGAGGGGTGACCACGCTGCAACCCTTCTCCTCCTGGGATCTCGGGCTCGCTGTCACCCCACATCATTTCACCCCTGAAACTTGAACCAGGGTCGGCCCTGTGGGATTCCAGTGTGTAACTGCTGTGCCTCTTACTGGCCCCGGCGTGCAGGTGTATGTAACATGGTGACCACCTCCTGCTTCACTTCCACCCCCAGCCTTTCGTTGGTTGAACTTTTTAGGTGTTTTTGCCTTATGCCATGGAATTCCCGAAAGACCTGACCTGCAGCTCTCTAACAAAGATTTTTGAGATTCTGGTTCTCTGCCCCTCACAGTTGTCTGGACAGAGTATTTCTTTCCCTCAGTCCTGCTTTGGAGGTGCTTGCTGCTGGCCCCTGCTGTGCTCCCCCCTGTCCTCACGGGGCTGGGACTTGGAACAAGCACTGGTTTCGAGCCCTCCTCCTCGGGAGTTTGGGGTTTCACTGTTTTGGTCACAGCTCTAGTGAGTCCTCAGTAAATTTATCCTGGACTATTGTAGATTACTTTACCCCAGCGAACTAGGTCCTAGGGAGCAGGGTGATGTAGGGTCAGGGGAGAGCCATTTTGCCAGTGGGAAAAGAGAACCCTGTTCTGTGTTCTCAGGACTCGTGGTTAATCTCGAGCCCCTGCTCTGTGTGCTCATTAATGTTACCTCAAGAATTAAAACAAATGCTCTTCTTAATTATATACATTATTTTAAAGATTGAATCTTATTAATTAGAGCCTTCTTCTCTGTGTCCTGTGTTTTCTGTAGATACTTAATTGGATTTGGCTTCAAAATACCTTGAGTGTTTTTTCTTTTTAAAAAATTTTTTTTTATTTAATTTTATTTGTTATTTTTTAATTTGATGAGAGAAAGAAAGGGAAAGTGAGAAAGCAAGCCTCCAGGTCCAGGTCCCAAACCACAGTTGGCCATGTGGGAGTCCAGCACCCTTAAACCACCACGCCACCTGCTGGCCCCTAGAATGTTTTATTTCTTAAGGGTTCATTTTACTCACTGGTTTTTTGCACTCAAGTATCATTTTGTTTGACTTTCCAAGGTATAATTAGTCTTTCTTTTAGTCCCTTTCCTCAGAAGTCATTTTGGAAAACAGCAAGCTACCCGAAGGAGTAACAATAAATTACAAATCTTACTGCAAGAATGGGGTAAATGGAACAGGGGAAAATGGAAGAAAATGTTCCAATATTTCCATTGGAGATGAGGTATGTTGTGTAAGCACTTTGTGTAGAAAAGAAGAAAGTTCTTATTAATAAGCAAATTTAGTTTATAATTTGAGAAACGTTAAAAGAAACAAATAGTGTTTTTTCTTTACCCATCATAGCGTGCGTGTACAAGCACCTGACAGTGAGGGGAGGACAGAGACACAAGCATCCCCACAGGGTTTGGGTGCACACAGCCTCCCTCCCCCAGACCTCCAGCCTGTTAGATCTTGGGTGCTCCTGCTTAGGCCTGTGTATTTCAGACTCACTGGGTCAGGGGTTCAGACCACTGTCACCATGTGGGATCCAGCTTCTCTTATTTTATTTATTTATTTATTTATTTTGAGAGTTTTTTTTCGCTATAGGGTGTGTGCTCTTGCCAGAAAGAAAGAGTGACAGAGAGACAGAAAGTGAGAAATCACCCCCCAGGGGAGATGGCCATACCGCAGTCCCTTCTCCTCCATTCTCCTCTTGGGATCTTGTGCATGCACTCACACATGCCCGGCGAGAGTTTAAGCCACAGGGTCCAGGACTTGGACCACGGTCGAGTACATGGGAGTCCAGCGACATAGCCATTACGCCACCTGCTGGTCCCTCCAGCTTCTCTTGAGCAGCACATTTCCCTGTAACTCAGGGCTGGCACTGCCTTTTTTTTTTTTTTTTTTTTTGGGAGAGATTTTCACTGTAGGGCGCCTGCGCTCGCCAGACAGACAGAAAGAGACATAGAGACAGAAAGCGAGAAATCACACCCCCCAGGGGGGATGGTCACGCCACAATCCCTTCTCCTCCATTCTCCTCTTAGGATCCTGGGCACGCACGCACACGCTCCCGGCATGAGTTTTAAGCTACCGGGTCCGGGACGCAAACCGCGGTTGACTACATGGGAGTCCAGCGACATAGCCATTATGCTAACTGCTGGTTCCCAGGGCTGGCACTGCTTTTTGAAATGCATTTTTTTAGTAGATTTGAATTGCTTAGTTAGTTGTTAACTTAATCTTGTTTTTGCATTTCAAGGTTCAATTTGAAATTAGCATAACTTCAAATAAATGTCCAAATAAGAATTCTGAAACCATTAAAATTAAGCCTCTGGGCTTCACTGAAGAAGTGGAAATTGTCCTTCAGTTCATCTGTGAGTGTGAGTGCCAGAGTGAAGGCATCCCCGAAAGTCCGAAGTGTCACGAAGGGAACGGGACATTTGAGTGTGGAGCTTGCAGGTACGTGGGACTCCTGGGCCAGGGTGGGATAGGCACCATTGGTTTAGACAGTTACAGGCAGGCTGTATTTTGGGAAATCTAGAGAATCTCCACCAAATAACTTTGTGCCTTTTATCAAATAACTTACTTTTCCCAACCACCATTGTTCCCCACCAGAGCAGTTTCATGATCTTGTGTGTGTTATTTATAGTGTTTCCTGCCTTTCTTCCTTCACAAGGCTCTGTCCTTGCTAAGGAAAGAAAGCCTTACAGCCATGTAAGAAAACATTCAGCAGACTGTTAGCAATCTGATTTTTGTTTGTTTGTTTCTTTAGTTTTGCTCTAGCGGTGTGTGTACTGGCTGGAGAGAGAAAGTGACAAATCACCCCTGGTGGGGTGGTCTGGCCACATCATAGTCCCATCTCCATTTTCTCTTTGGGTGTTGGGCACGCACGCACGTGAGCCTGGTGTGTTTCAGGCTGCCGGGTTTAGAACCCCAACTGCACAACTGGCCATGTGGGACCCAGCTACCTTAACCACCATGCCACCTGGCTGACTCAGTCTGTAATGTGTTAGAAAAATATGAAATTGATAATAATGATTTTTATCTAGAAAATGGAATTAGGAAGCAATAAAGGATATTCACCTTTTGTTTTTGCATTGTTATAATAATTTTTTTTTTTTGAGAGGTTTTTGCTATAGGGCGCGTGTGCTTGCCAGAAAGACAGAGACAGAAAGTGAGAAATCCCCCCCCAGGGGGGATAGCCGTGCCGCAATCCCTTCTCCTCCATTCTCCTCTCGGGATCTTGGGCACATATGCACACGCGCCCGGTGTGAGTTTAAGCCACTGGGTCCAGGACTCGAACTGCGGTCAACCACATGGGTGCTCAGCGACATAGCCATTACACTAACTGCTGGTCCCCATTGTTGTAATAATTTTTAACAAATAATCATGTGTTATAAAATTAAAAAAATAAAATGGTATTTTTAGAGCATAGAACCTATTAACTCTACAGGCTGCATATCCTTTATTCAAAATGCTTAGGGTTGGAAGTGTTTTGGATTTTAGATCTTTTTGGATTTTGGAATATTTTCGTGTACATAATGAGCTGTCTTGGGGATGGGACCCAAGTCTAAACATGAAATTTGTTTCATACACATACACACAGCCTTAGGTAATTTAATTTAGTACTTTTGTAGTGCAGAATTTGACTGCTACCCATCATAGATGAGGTCTGGTGTGGAATTTTCCACTTGTGGCATCATGTCAGTGCTCGAACAGGTTCTGAATTTTGGAGCATTTTGGATTTTGGATATTTGGATTCAGGATACTCAACCATAGTAACAAAACTCTAGTCAAGTTATTTTAATTTTATTGTCTCAGCGTTGTTAGTTTTTGAATTAAAAATAAAAATAGAATATCCTCTGATGGCAGCTTTCTCCTTAAAAGAATGGGGCGGGGGGAGCATGGTGATCTGAATGTCAGTCCCAAATGACTGCGTTAGAAGGGTTATTAACACATGACTGTAGATGGCCATCAGTTACTCTCTATTCCACGTAACACTTCACGCTTTTACTTTCTGTGCTGTACACGTCCTGTTTAGTCGTTTAACCAGAAGGACTATCTGCAAATCCTCTGCCTTTCCTCCGAACTCTTCATATTTAGCAGATACAGAATCGATGGGCCCAGTGTCCATGAGCGTTAGATGTTCTAAAAATATATGGCGTATCGGAATGTCCACACCCGTAGGATAAAGTTATTTTCTTTTCTTAAAAGAGATGTTTGCAATAGGGCACATACTGGAGAGACAGAGAGACAGAAAGCCAGAAATCACCCCCAGGGACGGCCACGCTGTAGTCCTTTGTCCTCCATGCTCCTCTCAGGATCTTGGGCACTCACACACACGCACCTAGCGTGAGTTCTAAGCCACCAGGTCTGGGACTCAAACTGCAGTTGACTGTGTGGGAGACCAGTGACATAGCCATTCTGCCATCTGCTGATCCCAGTAAAATTACTTTTAAACAGGATGTCAGTTATATTTTCCAATAATGCGCTCAATACATTTTTTCTCCTTTCTTGCCTTTTTTGGTGTGGTTATTGTACTTTCTTAGGTTAACAATTGAACCGGTGCTTTAAAACTAGAAGTACTTCACTTGTAATAGCAAACGTGAAAGCATGTTATCTGAAAATGTAGCTGTTTTCTTTAAAAATAAGCTTATTTTGTTTTCCCAGATGTTTTGTTTATCTGTTTATGGCTACAGTTGATTTTCATTGGGACAAAAATGGTTACTTTCCTGAAGAAAGTGTTTTTTCCCCCAAGTCCTGTGCAGTTTTCTGTGGATAAAAACCGTGTGTGTGCTGTGTGTGGATACGTGAAGCGTGTGCACGCAGCTGCTCATGCACCGCTCAGACACGTGTGACAACGTAGTCTGGAGAACTTGGTCGTGGTTTTGTTCTCCCTCCCACGGCTCGTTATTCTAAATCGCGTTTGTGCATCTGACGGCAGTTTTGGGGTCTCTCTAGGTGCAACGAGGGGCGTGTCGGCAGGCACTGCGAGTGCAGCACGGACGAGGTCAACAGCGAAGACATGGACGCCTACTGCAGGAAGGAGAACAGCTCGGAGATCTGCAGCAACAACGGCGAGTGCGTCTGCGGGCAGTGCGTCTGCAGGAAGAGGGACAACACGAACGAGATCTACTCCGGCAAATTCTGCGAGTGCGATAACTTCAACTGCGATCGGTCCAACGGCTTGATCTGCGGAGGTGAGCAAAGGGCTGCAGGGGTGATGAACTGTGATCCCCAGTACACATCCAAACGCCTGAGGCGTTCATGTGCTGAGTGAGTCGTGAGGGGCACCTCCGAGGGTCATCCACCCCGAGGTTCTCTTACGTCGTTCCTTCTTTTACTTTAAATCAACGCTGTCATTTTACATTTGCACCATTATTTTGAGAGGTGGTATTTTTTTGATCACAGGAAATGGTGTTTGCAAGTGCCGTGTGTGTGAGTGCAACCCCAACTACACGGGCAGTGCGTGCGACTGCTCACTGGATACCTCCTCGTGCATGGCTGCCAACGGACAGATCTGCAACGGCCGGGGCGTGTGCGAGTGCGGCGTCTGCAAGTGCACGGACCCCAAGTTCCAAGGGCAGACGTGCGAGATGTGTCAGACCTGCCTCGGCGTCTGTGCTGAGCACAAGTAAGTGTTGCGTAGGTCCTGAAGCACTGGGTCGTCAGAAGAGTCATGACGTATTTCTGTGTGTTTCTTTGCTAAACTGCATGGCGACTTTTCCGATGACCCGATAGTTCAGTCTCTGCTGACCTGAGGGTGTGTTCCCTATCACTCGGCCAGAGCAGAGCGTACTGAATTACTGGAAGGATCTGCGGTGTGAAGCCCACTCTAAGTTTTGGCAGTTCTTTCTCAATAGCTAGTGTGTGTTACATGATAATGAAGTGTGTCGGAGAGCCGTGTACTGTTATTCTGCTCTGAACCGGCTGTGTAATTAAACGTCTGTGGTAACACTGGATTGATATTACTGATTGCATAATTACTGCCTTTTGACATAGACTCAAGTAAGCAAAATGGAAGGCTTTTCCCCTGAAAAGTTATTACTGTACCATAGCACACTGCTTAAATGATGGCTTTATGATGTATACGTGTGTAAATATGTAATATGTATGTCTACACATGTACACATATATATTAATTAAGTTAATTTTTATTTCTTGCACGAGAGAGAGAGATACCCCGGCAAAGTAGCAGTCCACCTCCAGCCTCAGCGAGCCCAGGTCAGGCGTGCACACTGCACACGTGTGCTCTGGCATGTGGTGGTCCTCCTCCAGTCTCGGCAAGCCCAGGTCACGGGCACACACATGTGCTCTGGCGGATGGCGGTCCAACAGCCTCAGTGAGCCCAGATCACGGGCACACACATGTGTTCTGGCGGATGGCGGTCCTCCTCCAACCTCAGCGAGCCCAGACTCACAGGCGCACACACGTGTGCTCTGGCATATGACAGTCCTCCAGCCTCGGCGAGCCCAGGTTATGGGCACACACGTGTGCTCTGGCATGTGCAAGGAGGCACCTTCCTGTCAGGGCCAGGGTTTGACGTACTGCGTCACCACTGTGCCTCCAGCTAGTCCTTGTGTCAGACTGAACAGTTTTGAGACCAGGCTGGTTTTACTTGCCCACCTTTTCTTTTTATTGTGATTCTAATTTGAACTATAATCCATTGATAATTTTATTTAGGAATCCCATCCAGAAATGTACCTTTCCACTCACCCAAACCCTCTTTCATTGGCCACGTGAGGTTAAGTCTGTTAAATGTTTAGACCACAAAATCATCTTTACATGGATAATAACCTCAAATCACACATCTCCAATGTGATCATTTGTGTCTTAACAGAGAGTGCGTTCAGTGCAAAGCCTTCAATAAAGGAGAAAAGAAGGACACGTGTGCCCAGGAGTGCTCCCACTTCAACATCACCAAGGTGGAGAAGCAGGAGAAGCTGCCCCAGCCCGGCCAGGTGGACCCGCTGTCCCACTGCAAGGAGAAGGACGTGGACGACTGCTGGTTCTATTTCACGTACTCCGTGAACAGCAACAACGAGGCCATCGTTCATGTGGTGGAGACTCCAGGTAGGCGTCGGGTTGTTTAAAAAGTTGGTCCATTTTGTTTTATTTCTTCTTCCTACTGTTGAGGTCTATCGTCGGGTTCCCTAACATCTAGAAACTGTCTCCGGCTGGATTATTTTAGATTCAAGTTGGGAAGTTTCTCATCTCTCAAAGTGTACAACAGTATTAAAATGAACTGTGTATGGAAAATGGGAAGGACCAGTGGGCAGCATAAGTGGTTAAGGTGCAGGATTCCCACATGGCTGACTGTGGTTCGAGTCCCAGGCCACACGGCTTGAAATTCACTGCAGGTATGTGTCCGGGCATGTTCAAAATCCCAGGAGAAGAATGGAGAAGGGATTGTGGCATGGCCATTCGCCCTAGTAGTGATTTCTCCCTTTCTCTCTGTCTCTCTCTGGTGAGTGTTCATGCCCTGTGACAAAAAAGAAAAAAAAATGAAGAAAACAGATATCGAGTTTTAAGTTTTCTGAGTGGAGTCTGGAGTTTATTCCATGTGAGACACTTTATACAATACCTGATATTTAGGGATGATCATTGTTGTAAGATGATAGTGCCATTTGAGCTTGATTTAGGCTGGAATAGAAAATTTGTTCAAGGATATGAAGTGTCAGAATTGTTCAGCTGCTCAGAAGAGAAACATTTTTTCATTCCTACTTTTTCTAGTAGCCTTTGTGTAGATCCTTTGGAATTTTGTACGTCAGTGTACAGGTTTCTGTGTGTACAGGTTTCCGTGTGAACAGAAACTTTCATCGCTCTTGGGTAAATACCAAGAATGGAATTTTGGAACATATGGTAAGCGAGTTTCCAGGAAGCTGCTACATGTTTTTAAATTCTCTGCACTGTTTTGCATTATCAGTTGGTGTTTTGCAGATGTTGCCTCCTAGTCTGTGCCTCCTTGTCTTTTCATTCTTAACAGTGTTATTTGAAGGGCCAGCAGATGGCATAGCAGTTACATGGCTGGCCTTCCACATGGCTGACTGCAGTTTGAGTCCCAGACCCAGTGACGTAACTCTTCCTGGGCACATGTACCTTAACCACTGTGCCACCTCTCAGTCCACGCTTTCTTTCTTTTTTTTTTTAATTGCCAGAGGGCATGTGCGCTGGTTGGAGGGAGAGGGAGAAACCACCTCCCGGTGGGGCACAGTCATGCTACAACTCCTCCTCCATTTCTCCGTCCTGTCGGGATTTGGCGAACACACGCACCTGGCATCATTTTTCAAACCTTTAGGGATTTGAACCATGGTTGGCCATGTGGGATCCGGCTACCTTAACCATTAGGCTACTGGGCTGGCCTCAGAAGTTTTAATTCTGATGAACTGCAATTTAAGATTTTTTAAAAAGAATTATTTTACTTCTTTTTACTTATTTTTTTATTTTAATTTGACCAGAGAGGGACATAGTGAGTGCGGGGGCGGGGGGGAGGGCGGTGATAAAGCAGCTGCCGGGGCCGAGACTCGAATTGTGGTCAGGCCGTTGGGAGTCCAGTGCCTTTAACCACCATATTACCTGCTGGCCCCAAGGTTGTTTTTTTTGTTTTTGTTTTTGTTTTTGTTTTTAATGTGCCTCCCATTTACGGTTGTATCAAGAACTCTTTTTTTCCTAACCAAGATTGTATTTTTTTCCCATGTTTTCTTCTGGAAGTTTTATGGTTTCTGGTTTTGCATTTTTGTCTATAAAGTGTTTCAAGTTAATCTTGGTATGTTGAGTGAAGCTCACTTCTTTTGCATCTGAATGTCCAGTAGTTCCTATGCTGTTGAAAAGACTGTCCTTTCTTACCTTGTGTGAAAATCATGTGACTTTACACGTGCAGGTGTGTTTCTGACTTGATATTCCGTCACATTAACATGCACGCCTGTCTTTTGATAGATATAACACTGTCTCATAGCTTAGGTTTAAAAGCAGGTAGTGTGAGTCTTCCAACATTCTTTTCCAAACATGTTTTTAAAATACTTAGCTAGTGTTTTTTTTGCCTCCCATGCAAATTTTAGAATTGGCTTGCTGATTTTTATAAAAGTCCTACTGGGATTTTGATTGAGATTACATTGAGTTTATGGATGAAATTGAGAAGAATTAACATATTCTTAGTGTCAAGCCTTCTAGTTTATAAACATGGGCTAACTCTCCATTTATTCTTATCTATTTTGAATTATTTTCTCAGTGTTCCATTTTTTGTTTTTCTTTTTTAAGTTTATTTCTTCCGTGAGAGAGAGAGTGACAGGCATTCTCATGCACTCTGAGTGTTTCAAGTTGACTTGGGACCCAAACCGACAGTCAGCCATGTGGCTTCCAGCACTGCAGATCAGTATGCTACCACTTGAGCTACCCAGGCTGCTAGTGTTAGGGGTTTTTTGTTTTTGTTTTTGTTTTAATATTAAACTTTAGTTTTAAAAAATTTACTGTGAGGTGTGTGTACTTGTCAGAGAGAGAGAAGGAGAGAGAGAGGGAGGGAAGAAAGAAGAGGAAAGTGAAAAAGTACCCCCCCAGAGAAGAAGGGGGAATGGCCACACCACAAATCCTTTGCCCCCATCATCCTCCTGGGATTTCGGGCACATGTGCACGTGTACCTGGTGTGACTTTCAAACTGCTGGATCCGTACTTAAACCACGTGGTTGGCCATGTGGGATCCAGCCGTCCCAGCCATCATGTCACCAGCTGGCCTGTGTTTAGTGATTTTTAATGTGTAAATTTTGTGTATATCGTGTTAACTTTATGCTTATTTTCATGATTTTTGGTAACATATATTGTGATACTGTTGTTTCAACTTCAGTCTCCAATATGTAGAGATAAATTTTCATGTACATGTAAATCCATGGGGCTTTCGTTTATTGATCACGTACCGTGTAATGTTGCAGACTCACTTGTTAGTCTCTAGTAGTTTTTTATTTTTTAAGTGTATTTATATCTTTCATGTGAATCAGAGACAGAGACAGGCACGCATGAGAGTCTCTTGCCGTGATCCTCCCCAGTCTTCCCAGCTGGCCCGTGCCTGTGCCTGGCATAAACCAGTTGACCGGGGACTCCAACCTGTGGCCTTCCACCAGAATTCAGCATCACCCACGCAGCACGCCATCTCGGTGCCACCAAGCTGCCCAGTGCTAGTAGCTATTTATGGGTTCTTTGTGCATTCACTTTCTTACTAAAGTTTTTGTTCTTTATTCTTTTATTTCTTACTATGTTTTTATTCCTGCCTGTTTTCTATAAGACGCTGCCCTGCTGTTTGTAGGCGGGCTGGTCTTTGCCCATATTAGTCCCTGCGTGCTGATCACCTCCTTCCTGTTTTCCAGATTGTCCCACGGGTCCAGACATCATTCCGATTGTAGCTGGTGTGGTTGCTGGAATTGTTCTCATTGGCCTTGCATTACTGCTGATTTGGAAGCTTTTAATGATAATTCATGACAGAAGGGAATTTGCTAAATTTGAAAAGGAGAAAATGAACGCCAAATGGGACACGGTAAGTTGCAAAATATCTAAGGAGCGAGGTGGTTGGTGAAGTCATTGAATACGTCTGAGCCTTATTAACTGTAAAACTGATTATTAAGATTGCTTTAAGTATCCTCTTCTCCCAAAATGTGTTATTTGGAGAATTTGCATTTAGTGAAAAACAGCATCCTAAATATAATCCATTGAAATGAAATATCCTAAGAGTCTATATTCTGGTTACTATAGCTAATATTTTTATTTCTTATACTTCTTAAGTCTGTTCTTCTGCCCTTTTTTTTTTTTTATAGTTTTTTATTTCTTCCATGAGAGAGGGAAAAGGACAGAGACAGGCACCTTCAACAGGGTCTTAAAACTGATCCACTCCAGCCTCTGCCCGTCAGGATCATGGGCACACACATGCACACACATGCATACCTAGCATGTACAGGGAGGCCTCAGGATGTGAACCAGGGACCCTCCCACTTGGGTTGTTTCATCGAATATAAAATAGAATCCTAAATAATGTTACTTGTGTAGCGAGAAAGCTATTTGATAGAAAGCATCTCCTTTTTTGAAACAAAAAACAGTCATTGTAAAGCAGCTAGACTCTAAGGCCTCCAAGGGCCTCTACAGCCTGTTTCCATTTCTGTTACATCTGCAGAAGGCAGCACTGGGGGCAGAAATCAGACCAGTGGTTGCCAGGGGCTGGAGCCGAAAAGGGTCCACCACAGAGGGCACGGAAGATCTTGGGCTGATCTGATTCTGGGTGTGTTTATATATTCGAAAGCTCCGGGCACTCTGTACTTTAAAAAGGCATATTTTGACTCAACCTGGTGGCGAAGTTAGTGGCGAACTGAACTGCAGTGCTGGAAGCCATGTGGCTGACTGCGGGTTCAGGTCCCCAGGTTGGCTTGTAAACACACCAGATGTGCACACACGACCCAGACCCTGACAGGTCGGAGGGCTGGGGGAAGGAGATCGCAGACCTAGGGCACCTCTCTCCTTTCTCTCTTTCTTGTGCAAATGCACACTCTATCATGAATAAAATAAACTTTAAAAAAGATACATTTTACTCTATGCAAACTCTATCTCTGTAAACTGCTTTGTAAGAAGTCTGTGCTAGTATCCGGTGCCCTGTAATGTGAAGTCAGGGAAGGGCAGCTTCTTCGGCTCACGTCAGCCCCTGTATTCATCTTCTGATGCAAGGAGGTTGTGACAATCTTCAGTATTTTAAAATTGTAAATGCATGTTTGTCATTTATATCTTGCTACAGTTTACTTGGGTTTTAAAAATAACTATGAAGTTCAGAAGTGTAGAAATAGTAAAAATATTCTTTTATAGAGTTTAAGCACTATAAATGTCAATTTTCTGATGAAATCATTAGAAACTATTTCTTTTACTTCAGCAAGAAAATCCGATTTACAAGAGTCCTATTAATAATTTCAAGAATCCAAACTATGGACGTAAAGCTGGTCTCTAAGCTGCCGTTCGTATCTCTTTGCACTTTCTGTCTGCATGTGAAGTTTTCCTTTCTGACTGCACTGCGTGTGTCCCTTATCACCGTTGCTTTTTTAGGTCTGGCTTTATTTACATAGCTCTGTTAAGGCTTTTCTTTCTGCGTGTTAATTTAGTTAGTGCTTAGAAGGCTTTGCAGTGAATTCCATGCTATAGAAACAACCGCAGTGCTTTGCAATTCGACAGGCCTGGGGTTGAATCCCGGCCCTTCCGCTTAGTAAACACAGCAGCATCCAGTCACTTCCCGTCACTTCCCAGGGACTGTTTCTCAGGTCTGTAGCAGGGAGTCGGTCATCCGTACCGATTGTGTGGGGTTGATGGTTTTTAGGCAAGACAGCTACAGTACATGCCATCAGTCCGTCAGCTGTAATCCACGACAGCCCTGTGCCTTAGGTGGTAGTGTCCTTATATAACAAAGTACTAGGTGTAAATTCTTAGGTTGAATAGTGGAAATTGAATGTGAAATCCCAATTGCAGAATAGGGAAATAAATGTAAGCAGATAGAACGTCTGTATGGCATACACCTACGTTAGCATTGTAAGAACCATCTTGAGATTCATATGTGTACATATAAACAAAATGCCAAGTGATTATTTAGTTTGGATCTTCATTTTTAAGAATTACTTATTTAATTTTGTTTATTATTACTTAATTTACTTTAGGGCATGTGCATTCACCAGAGAGAGACAAAAATAGAGGGAAAGTGAGAAATTACTCCCCAGGGGGGATGGCCAGGCTGCAATCCCTTCTCCATTCTCCTCTTAGGATTTGGGCACACATGCACACATGCCCAGTGTGATTTTCAAGCTTCTGAGTCTGCCATGAGGGAATTCAGTACCTTAAACACCATGCCACCTGCTGGCCCCCCATTTTTTTCTTTTTTCTTTTTTCTTTTTTCTTTTTAATGAAAACATGACATGATGTGGTAGCCAAACAGAAATGGAAAACATTGTAAGGGAAGATGATGTGTGTGCCTGTGTTAGTTTCGTTAATGAATTATTCTAGTTTTTAAATCTAAGGTTAAATTTTTTAAAAATAACAAACTTTAAAGATAAAAGTCTCAGGGCCAGCAGGTGGCGTGGTAGTTAAGGCACTGGATTCCCACATAGCTAACTACCATTTGATTCCCGGACCTAGCAGCTTAAAAGTTACCCTGAGTGTGTGCGTGTCTGTGTGTCTGTGCACATGCCTAAAATCCTGAGAGGTGAATGGAGGAGAAGGGTTTGTAGCAAAGCCATCCTTCCAGGGCAGGGGGGCTTGATTTCTTATTTTTCCTCTCTCTGTCTCTGTCTCTCTAGTGAGTACATGTACTCTATGGCAAAAACCTTTGTGGAAAAAAAAGATAAAAGTCTTATTTTGGTTTAAAATAAAAACTTAGTTGAAAATTTTATAGTTGTGGGGCCAGCACATGATGTAGTGGTCATGTCGCTGGACTCCCACATGGCTGACCACAGTTCAAGTCCTAGAACCAGTGGCTTGAAACTCAGGCCAGGCACGTGTGTGTGTATACCCAATATCCTGAGAGGAGAATGGAGGAAAAGGGATTACAGCATGGCTATCCCCTCCAAGGGGTGATTTCTCACTTTCCCTCTGTCTCTCTCTCTCTCTGGTGAGCATATGCACCTTAAGGCAGAAAGTCTCAAAAAAAGAAGAAAATTTTCTAGTTGTAAAGCTTACTTTTCCTGTTCTTTTGTTTTGACAAATGTATATTTTACCTGGATGACAAATTTATCACTCTTGATTAGCAATAGTCAGAATTCTTCCTTTTCTGGTTTCAAGCTGTTAGTGTCTGAATTCTCATTAAATGTGTCTAGTATATTTTAATATATAATTAGATAAATCCCTCAAACCTTCAGATAAAAAGGTTGTGATGAGAACCACATTCTCCACACTGGTGGTCTAGAACGCTCCCCTCCTGTCCCAAGTGACTGAATAGAACAGAACCTGAGGGGCCAGCCTGTCTCACCTCTCACCTACTGTGCAGAGAGCAGCAGTGTTGGTGATAATTACAACGGACACATCTGTAATACTTGTGTCTCAAGTGTGGTTCTAAGCAGCTCATCTGTATTTAATTTTCTTAGTGAACAGAGTGGGAACTCTGTATTCACCTCTTTCACATAAGAGAAAAGCGAGGTGCAGAAGGGTTAGGTAACTTGACCGCGTCCAGAGAGCTCTTCGTGGGAGAGCACAGTGAGGCCGGGAGCTCGGGCTCCAGAGTCCGAGTTTTCACCCACCATGTGGTGCCAGCGGCAGTCATAGACCACCTGCTTATTAGGAAGAGGGAGTCACCCTGCATAGAGAACTACAGCATTTTTCACAATTCGTGGTTATTCAGAGTAGCAGCGCTGCTCCGGGCAGACGTCAGACTAGAACTCCATTACACCGAGCTCCGCACCACGGCCAGGCTCCTTTACTTACAGCACGAAGAGGAATGTGAATCTCAACACGGTTTCACACTGTTAAGGGACCTAGTAACGTTAGAAATTTTGACTTACCAGAATTTTTTATTTCTAAGCACTTTTAAAGATTTTTTTGTAGAGGTTTTTTGGCTATAGGGTGCATGTGCTCACCAGTGAGATAGAGAGAGAGAGAGAGAGACAGAAAGCGAGAAATCACCCACGCCGCAATCTCTTCTCCTCCACTCTCCTCTCGGGATCTTGGGCACGCACGCACACGCCCCTGGCATGAGTTTAAGCCACCGGGTCCGGGACTCAAACCACGGTCATCTACATGGGAGTTCAGCAACATAGCCATTACGCCAACTGCTGGTCCCAAGACTTTTTAAAGTTAAGTTTGATGGCAAAAAATTACAGTCAAGTCCATACATGGGCCGATAGGTCATTTTGCGTGACTCCAAGACTTGATGCATACTGCTGCTGCTTTATGTACTTTAGAGAGAGTGAATGTTTGAAATTGCTGGGCTTTTTTCCCCTATCTTTAGGACAGAAACAGTCAAATGCTGACAATTTCATATAGTTATTTCTCCTATGAGAATTATTTTCTGTTTGTCATACTAAGAGGTAAAATTTTTAGCTTTGCCATAAGTCCAAATGTGCATTGAATTCAGTTATCAATAACTATTATTGAAGCAGTGTTTATGCTCTTAATCTTTGACAAAAACGTTACTTCTTTAGCCAGAATAAGTACACACACACAAACACGCACACATGCGCGCATGCACACACACGTGTGTTTATCTGTTCTTCTGCTGTCGGACACTCAGGTTGATTCCGTGTCTTGGCGTTGTGAATGGTGCCGCAGTAAACGTGAGAGTAGTTACCTCTACAACTTAATCTCCTTTCCTTTGAGTGTGGCTTAGTGGTGAGACTGCTGGATCTTCACGGCAGCGCCACCTTTAGTTTTGGAGGAACTGACGTTCTGTTTACAATAATGGCTGCACTGCAGTGTAGAGTGCCCTTCTCTCTGCGTCCTTACCAGCTTCCGATGTTTTTGATAACAGCCATCTGAACTGGAGTGAAATGACACTTCACTGTGGTTTCGATTTAATTTTTCCTAATTTGTATGTCTTCTTTTGAGAAATGTCTATTCAGATCATTTGTCCTTTTTGAACTGGCTTACCCGAATATATACATAATGCAACAGCAGGAAAGTATTTTTTTTTTTCAGTTAAAGAGATCATTTTTATTTATTTTAGAAAACAATATTATAACAATGTAATTATTTATCACTTAAAAATCAACATGCAAGATTTCAGATATCTTTAATTGTAATTTGAGGTGTTATTATTTTCCCCAAATATTTTATATTTTTCAATTTATTTGTTTATATTACTATTTTTATACATTCAATTGCTATACATTATTTGCTTGTAAAGAGAATTTAACCAGCATGAAAGAAATACACCTCAGACCAGTCCAGTTGAGAATACTATACACGTTATCATCAACAGGTAATAAACCATTTCTGTGTCCCACCCATGTCTTCTCTCTCTTTTTTCTCCCTGATTTCCTTCCCTACTCTCTTCCCCTCTCTCCTTCCACAGTCTCCAGTGTTCATAACTATTTTCAATGCTTTTGTGTCCAAAAAGAACCACAGGAGACCCTGTCATTTGATAGAAAGTAGACAAATATGGAAGATTTATTGCTGAGTGAAGCAAGTCAGGCTATGAAAGAAAGACATTGTATCTCTCCACTTCAATATACCAACTGTCTCCACTCTCTGGTAGAGACTGAAAGATTGGTGGACAGTTGTTTTTTAGTATTAGTAAAGTCCAGGCAAACAAATAGTTACTGATTATTCTAAGAGATGTTCTCGAGAAAAATTTAATTAGAAATTAATGAATGAACATCAAGAAATTAAACAAATAGTGGATTATAAACCACTTTTCTGATATGGGACCAGGATTTGCCAGTCAATCATGTCATTAACTTATTTGGATAACAGGCAGGCACTAATTATTTCAGCACATGAGACTATTATGTTGGTATTTTTTTTAAATATCAAACTATCCATTTATAACTATTAAGTGAGTTTTAAAAATTGTTTTGTTTACCTTGCCCTGTTTTAATGCAAATTAAATGTGGATCCTAAATTTCCCACAGGTATGCATGGTATATCTAATAGATTCTATAATAGATTCTTTTTTTTTTTTTGGAGAGGCTTTTGCATAGGGCTCATGCCCTCACCAGAAAGAGACAGAGAAACAGAAAGCGAGAAATCACCCCCCCAAGGATATGGCCATGTTGCAACCCCTCCTCCTCCATTCTCCTCTCAAGATCTTGGGCACGCAGGCACATGCACTCGGTGTGAGTTTAAGCCTCCAGGTCCAGGACTAGAACTGTGGTCGACTACATGGTAGTCCAGCAACATAGCCATTACGCCAACTTCTGGTCCCTCTAGTAGATTATTTCTATAATGGATTCTATAGCCACCACTACTAGCCATTCCAGGGACACTGTAAGGAGGACATTTTACTGGCTCAGAAGGCTTTCTTTCAGATAACCCTGTTCTCTTGGTTTAAGTACGGTGTGGATTTGGTGGTAGTGGTTTTGCACTGCAAACAGTGGAAACTAACCTGGATTATTTAATTTACTCCCATTTAAAATGATGTCTAACACAGATAGCGAGTTTACTTTGGCTTCTAACATTGCATGTTAAACCACTTGGATGGGCTTTAAAATAATAAATATAAATATTTTGTGTGTGACAAGGCAGACTTTTCTGCAGAGGTAAGTCCTATCATATAAATTATACTTTAGACTCAGTAATATAGGACTTTTTTAAAATTTTTTTCTATAATAGATTCTTTTTTTTTTTTTGGAGAGGCTTTTGCTATAGGGCTCATGCCCTCACCAGAAAGAGACAGAGAAACAGAAAGCGAGAAATCACCCCCCCAAGGATATGGCCATGGTGCAACCCCTCCTCCTCCATTCTCCTCTCAAGATCTTGGGCACGCAGGCACATGCACTCGGTGTGAGTTTAAGCCTCCAGGTCCAGGACTAGAACTGTGGTCGACTACATGGTAGTCCAGCAACATAGCCATTACGCCAACTTCTGGTCCCTCTAGTAGATTATTTCTATAATGGATTCTATAGCCACCACTACTAGCCATTCCAGGGACACTGTAAGGAGGACATTTTACTGGCTCAGAAGGCTTTCTTTCAGATAACCCTGTTCTCTTGGTTTAAGTACGGTGTGGATTTGGTGGTAGTGGTTTTGCACTGCAAACAGTGGAAACTAACCTGGATTATTTAATTTACTCCCATTTAAAATGATGTCTAACACAGATAGCGAGTTTACTTTGGCTTCTAACATTGCATGTTAAACCACTTGGATGGGCTTTAAAATAATAAATATAAATATTTTGTGTGTGACAAGGCAGACTTTTCTGCAGAGGTAAGTCCTATCATATAAATTATACTTTAGACTCAGTAATATAGGACTTTTTTAAAATTTTTTGTTCATCCCTTAACATTCTTAAGTATTAAATATTATATTTACTTAGTGCCTTATTTTAAAGACACTTAATTAGATGACTATTTTCCCATCGTATTTCGAGGGATGGGTAGCTCTGGCCTCACGTACAGCTAGGAGGATGGCAGTAGGAGTCTGAGTTACTCACACGCTGGCTTTTTGGGGGGTGGCTGTGGCTTTTCAAGAATCCTTTCCTGACTCCTGTGTCAGGGTGTCTGCTGTACTGTCTGCATAGTCACGTGTTAGCTCCAGTGGGACTGCAGCTCGGGGTTTGGTGCCTGTGTGATCTTACCATCGGGCGATGTGAAGCTCGTGTCTGTGGGATCCTGAGTTCCCCAATGCATCTCGAAAACTGATCAGGTTGTGTTTGGAGGAGACAGGGTGAGGGCGTGGTGGGGTCTCTCAGGACCCAGCTGGGACCCCTGCTAGGCTCATGGCCCGCCCTTGGCGGGACAGGATGCAGACTCCTAGGGCACATGAGGCCACCCTGCCTTGGCCCTGCCTTCCCGGCTGGTCTCTCTCCCCCACACCTCAGAACGCCACCCCCACAGCACACTCGCCAACTTCTGAACTCCATTTCTTCAGAAGGACGCCACTACTTTCCTTATACCTTCCATAAATTTCTCTTTACCTTTTAATAATTATCAGTGGTCAGTTTCACTGTGAAAATGTTCCTAATCTCAGATGAAGTTGATTTTTTTCTTATGCTGTTTCCATACTGTGTACTTAATTCTATTTGTACTATGAGGACGCCTTTTTTTCATGGTTGTCATGCACCAAACCATACCCTTACCGAGGGCAGAAATTGGGGCAATAAGAGGTCCAGATATACTCTGTAGGGATGTGTGAGTAAAATTTCAAAAATTACTTTTAGATGCTTTCTATAAATATTTTTAAGTGACTTGCAGGTAACTGTATAATGTATAAAACAACAGTATTTTAAAAATCTTAATTTTTTGCCTAAAAGGTTATTTCCCTGATCATTAACAAATGTTTTGATTTAATATGTACCTGTACTTTCCTCTGATAAAGGGTTATTTTATTTTGCCCATTTTTACATTGGCTTTCAAACCTGCTTTTGTTAAGAACAGGAGAAAAAAGTGGTATAGCAGGTCATTAAATACAGCATTTAACATAAGGACTTCCAAAAAAATGGTGTTATAGCTTCTGTGTTCTTTTTCCACCTAGTATGTCACTGTGCCCATGCATTTTGGGATCATAAAAGATCTCGAGTTTTCGGCTTGGTGTCACTTGCTGGGCTTAATTTCAGTACTCTTCACTGGAGTGAGGACTGCGTAGCACGGTTGCCGTTAAGCTTTGTAGGAACCACAGCGACTTCCCGAAGAATGGCCCTTACCTTAGTGGACATTCTGAGCATATCTGGCGGTGTGGCGTGGTGTTGGCAGCGGGCCCTCAGTGACGTCCTGACCGCCTCACTCAGGACTCCCAAAGTTCGTGGGCGAGCCCCAGGCGTCCCCTCCCTGAAGCTGTGATGAAAGCCCAGGATTCCCGTTGTGATTATCTTGCCCTCCGCGCTGTGAAGGGATGAGAATCAGGATGGGGTAGGAGCAACGCTACTGCCTCCTCATGACAGGCACAGCCAGTTCGAAGGACAGAACCCGTGGTCACCACGCAGTCCTTGCTGTGGGGGCGTCCCTCGCCCTGTGATGGAGGAAGGACTAGGGCGAGGCTGCAGTGCCAGGTGATGGGGACATCATCAGCCCCGTAGAGAGCTCTCGGTTTTCATTTGAGCATAAGCCACTCCTAGTACCCTTTTAAATATTGTGATATCTGGACAGGTGAAATGGAAATAACTTCTTTTTTTAATATTTATTTATTTACATTTGTTATTATTATTACCATTTTTTAGTTTGATCAGAATGAAAGAGAGAGGAAGGAAAAGTGAGAAAGCAAGCCGCCAGGTCCAGGACTCTGACCGAGGTCGGCCATGTGGGAATCCATCGCCTTTAACCACCATGCCACCTGCTGGCCCCCCAGGAAATGACTTCTTAAAACGACTGCTCAGTTTTGACTTCACCTGATTTTAGTCCCTGATCATTTTTCTCACTTTTTTTTTTAGGGTGAAAATCCTATTTATAAGAGTGCAGTGACAACCGTGGTAAATCCGAAGTACGAGGGGAAATGATCGCCACGTGGGACAACTTGACAACAACGAGTGCGAAGTCATTTCCGTAGTCACAGGAGGTAGCTTAGGGCAGAGTCGCCATGATTCAACTCGTGCAAACTTTGTAAATGTACAATATGTATAATGTTAAAATTTTTTTTTTTATTATTTTGAAAATAATGTTATAATCCATGCCAGGGACTGACAAAAGACTTGAGACGGGATGGTGATCCTGTCAGCTAAGGTCACATTGTGCCTTTCGACCTTTTCTTCCTATTCTGTTGAAATCAAGCTTTCAGTGATGAGGGGGTATTTCTAGAGGGATGGAAAGGGCAGTAGTTAAAGCCGTGAGCATGACGGGAGTTTCTAGTAATCATGTATTAGACTGATATTTAGCTTCACAGATATGTCAGTTTTCAGTTATCCCGAATACGAAGTAAATGCCCTGCTAGCTAGCTTAGGATTGTTTTCTGCCCGTCATTTTGCAGTTTGCCTGTCAGACACGACTATGACATATCTGAAAGAGGAACATGTTGAGGATCGCTGGTGTAAAATAGCTTCAGAGTATTGAGTCTACAGAGGCCATGGAGAAAATTGAGAATGTTAGGAAGCAAAACCAATAGCTTTAAACCCTGTGTGCCATTCTAAGAGTTACATAATCTCAGTAACTTTTACGCCTTCTATCAGTTCAAGCCTTGGATTAAAAGAACCGGGAAATATTTTGCTGAAAAGTCCTTGACTTAGCACTATTTACATAAAGGCCTTAATTTCTGTAGTATTTGCTGAATGGGGGACCTTTGGGATTGAATTAATGTTATCTTATTGTTTTTATTTTGTTTAATGCCTGGTGCTTTTTATCACCTCTCCTAGTCTTGTTGTTTGCAGTTTAGGGGTCAGACTTTTCTTTTTCCTCAGAACTGTTTCTTTGAAGTTTTAGCTGTAAGCGCGCCTGTTTAATGAACGCGGGAGGCTGTGCTCGGCTTCTGCAGCAGCTCCGCCCACGCAAGTCTGACTTCCGGTTAGCGCCGTAACAAACCACTGTGTGTTTACTTCTCACCTCCCGAGCTGTCCCTCTTGTTTTGTACTAGTCACGTTCTTGTTTTAAGTGCCTTTTAATTTTAACAGTTCACTTTTTACAATGCTATTTACTGAAGTTATTTATTAAATAAAAATGCCTAAAATACCTACCTTGGATGCTTGGGCTCTGTACTGATACATTTCGCCGGCTGTGTGCATGAAATCTAAGTTAAAGAAGCTGACGATAAAACCTTTCTGGCTAGTGGGTATTTTGCTTGAGAAGCTAAAACATACTTTCTTAACATTTATTTTTAAAAAGATGTGCTAGGGACATAAGGGGAGTGGGGTGGTAAAATACAGACTTAGGAAGACTATCTTTGGGCTCTCTAAGGAGTATTGGAAAGATCCTCACCTCTCCAGTGCTAGAAGGTCGATTTCTTCCCTACGTTAAACAGGGTTAGCTTTTTACAAGTATCGATTTAGAGCGATTACCCATAGCTGGAAATCATATCATTTTATCTATGATATAGATGGGATTATTGCTTCTCTGATAAGGAAATTTGATTTTCATTTGGCTTTGGTTTATTTCTGTTCAGAAGTATATATCCATCAACAATACGTATGATAAATTTATTAGAAGAAATATATATTCCTTCTTCAAACATAGAACACATGTCAGAATGATAGGGTGGTTAGGACATAGTGTTGAAAGAAGTTTAATAGAAAGCAACCAAGCAGTCTTGGGCAAGACGCAAATAAAGCTCTAGAAATTAAAAACATGATATTTGAAATAAAATCTTCAATGCTAAAGTAGACAGTGGAAGGAATGACTAAGAATGTCCAAGAAGACCAGCTCTGTGGTGTAATGGTTAAGGCAGCCGGATCCCACATGGCCGACTGCACAGTTTGAGTCCCAGACACAATGGCTAGAAAAACACACCAGACATGTGTGCGTGCTCAAAATCCCAAAGGCAAAAAAAAAAAAAAATCCCAAAGGCGAGAGAGAGAGAAGAGAGGAGAGAGGGGATTCTAGCGTGACCACTCACCACAAGGGGTGCTTTCTCCTGTCTCTAGCAGGCGCACGCACCTTCGTGTTGTAGGGTGCAGACACACGGCATGCAAGACACTTCTGATGAAGAAGGGACCATGCATGGATACTTGACCTGTCAGAAATTGTTTTGTAATGCAGGGACAGTAATTAAGACACAATGGTAATGGCATGGAGATAGGCCAATACAAGGGGACTCAAAAATTCTTGCAAAAACAGGATTAAGTATGAGTTTATTTTGGTGTAAAAATTTTTGAAATCTATACATAGGTCTCTTATAATATTCATTTTTCATAAACTTTTTGAAGGTCCTTCATATACCCGTGGTGTCAAATAAAGAACCCTAACACGGGTCCATATAAAACCAAGTGTTCTAGAAACATTTGAAAAGCCACTTTGGAAAAATATTTTGAGATTATCTAGTAAAGCTGAACATGTGCATATCTTATAACTTAACACTTTAATTATTGGTAAAGATACAGTTGTAAGTACGCTCATGTATAAACATTCATAGTGGCATTTTTTTTTTTTTTTTTGGAGAGGTTTTTGCTATAGGGCGCGTGCGCTCGCCAGACAGAGAGAGACATAGAGACAGAAAGCGAGAAATCACCCCCCGGGGGGATAGTGACACCGCAATCCCTTCTCCTCCATTCTCCTCTTGGGATCTTGGGCACGCACACACACGCACCCAGCGTGAGTTGTAAGCCACCAGGTCCGGGACACGAACTGCGGTCGACTACGTGGGAGACCAGCGACATAGCCATTACTCTAACTGCTGGTTCCCCATAGTGGCATTTTTAAAAAATAGCAAGGTACTGAAAACCATTTAAATGTCTACCAGCAGTAGAATGGATGATTGAACTGTGGTATATTAGTTCAGTAGAAAGTTGTGAAATAATAAATGTTTTAATTACACACATCCTTATAGGTGCACCTCAGAAACAATGCTGAGCAGGGCCAGGGGATGGCATAATGGCTATGTTGCTGGATTCTCACACAGGCAGCCCCGATTCAAGTCCCAGACCTGGCGGCTTAAAACACACTGGGTGTGTGGGCATGTGTGTGCATACCCAAGATCCCAGAAGGATAATGGAGAAGGGATTGCAGCATGACTGTTCCCCCGAGGGGTGATTCCTAGCTTTCTGTCTCTTTATCTCTGTCTCTCCAGTGAGCACATATGCCCTATAGCAAAAATCTCTCTCTCTAAAAGAAGAATGATGAGCATGAGATTCAAGTCATAGAAGAATGATGCCATGTGCATCCATTTAGAACTAAGCAGGCTGCAGCTATAAGGACAGACAAGGGCATGAGTAATGTGAGATTTAAGATGGCAATATCAGTAAAATAATGGAGTGGACAACTCCAAGTTCTTGTTCTCCGTGAAAATATCAATAAACAAGCACTGTCTTTCACACTGGAAAACAAAGTCTGGCAATACCCAAGCCAACTTGATCAAGAAAAAGTCAAGCTAATAAGCCTGGTAAGGAAGCTCTGTGTCAGCAGTGCTTGCTCCTGCCTCATTCTCTCCTCACTCTGGCTGTCTTGATGCAGCAGCTGCCCCTGTTTCCAATGGAGGGCTCTGGTCCTTGGTTCGAAAGGGAGTAGAGTGAACTTTACTGCAAATTATTATCCTTGTGCGTTCTAACCTTGCCAAGGGCTACCTGAAGAACTCACTTCTGTTCCCCTAACTTGGAACTCCAGCTGAAAAAACAGTAGGCATTGCTTGGATGTGGGCACTGATGGCTGAGCTAGTCACACACCTGGGGTCAATAATTACGGTCTGATATACATAGACCACCTGAGGACAAGGAGCAAAAGCTGGGGAGAGGTTCTTCATGAAGTTGGGAAATTAGAGGCACCCATATAAATAGGGGAACTTAAAAAACTACAGTCATACCCAGGGCAAGATGCGTGCTCAGGAAAGCCCTGAAAAGACCCTCACGCTTTGCCTCACTGAAATGTAAACTCAGTGCAAACCTGGTCAAGTGCTGGAGGAACGCCCCAGCATAGCCAGTCAGCAAAGACTGGGGAAATTTTTTTAAGCTCCTGGTATTCAAGGAAATCTTACAAAAAATACTACATGAACACAAGCAAACCAATCAAGACTTCAGTGATCAGATATGACAAGGAAAGCAGTCTTAATCAAAATAATTTGGAAAAGTCACTAAATTAATAGACTAACATAGCCCTCACCAATCAAACACCCCAGGGAAACCTTGGGAAGAGGAAGAATCTCATTCCAAATGTTACATTATAATTTTCACATGTTTGGTTTTTAACAAAAAAAAATTACAGGGCAAAGAAACAGGAAACTATGGGCCAATCGAAGGAGCAAAATAAACTGACAGAACCCATTCCTGAGGAAGTCCAGACATTGGACTCAATACAAAGACTTTAAACCAACTTTAAATATTCAAATGGCTTAAGGAAAATGATATGTGAAAAAGTGAGAATATCAAATAAAGGGACATTATGAAAAAGAACCAAATTCTAGACCTAACAGACAATGGCTAAAATGAAAAAATTCTGTACAAGAGCCCAATAGCAGATTAGAGCAGGCAGAAAAAAGCATCAGTGAACTTGAAGCTCCTCTACTTGAAATGATTGAGTCTGTGAAGGAGGTTTTGTAAAAAAAAGATTGAAGAAAAACTAACAAAGCCAACAAGAATTATGGGATGCAATGCGTGGACCAACATACACTTTATGAGATTTGCAGAAAGAAGAGAAAAAAACGGAAGACATCATATTTGAAAAAGAAGTAGTAAAAACCAAAATCTTCCCAAATTTGATGAAATACATGACTCTGAAATACTTGTGAGTATCCAAATAAGTAAACTCTGATTCAAAATGAGAAACCTTATAACTGAACCGTAAAAAGATAGAACATCTCAAAAGCAGTGAGAGGAAAGTAACTCATGTGCAGGGGACCCTTGGGTACGTTCACAGCCAGTTCCGCATCAGAAAGCGCCGAGGCTAGAAGGCATGGGGCCACCTATTTATTTATTTACTTATTTTTAAAAAATGTTAGAATTAACTATAGGGTGCCTGTGCTCTCCAGAGAGATAGGGAGGGAAAGTGAGAAATCACACACACACACACCCAGAGTTGAGGGGATGGTGATCCCACAACCCCTTTTGTTCCATTCTCTCAGGATTTGGGGCACACATGTACATGTGCCAACATGTTTTTCAAGCTGCCAGGTCTGGGAATCGAACCATGCAGTTGGTCTTGTAGGATCCAGCCACTTTAACCAACATGCCACTGGCTGGCCCAGGATGACACATGTAAAGTGCTATAAGAAAAAAATATTCAACTAAGAGTTCTCTAGCAGGGCCAGCAAGTGGCATGATTTTTTTAAGGCACTGGATTCCCACATGGCTCACCGAGGTTTGAGTCCTGGGCTCAGTGACCTGAAAATCACACCCAGCACATGTATGTGCATGCCCAAATGCTGAGAGGAGAATGAGGAAAAGGGATTGTGGTGTGGCCCTCCCCCCGGGGTGGTTTCTCACTTAACCTCTTTCTGTCTCTGTCTCCATCTCTCTCCAGTGAGCACACACCCTGTGGCAAAAACCTAAAAAACATACAATATCTATGTGAGTCCACCCTCGGGGCCTGGGAGTAGTTCTGGAGCTTTTGCCATGCAGCTGCCCAGCGCTCTGGTGGCCTGGGCTCACTCCACCCACCGGGAGACTGTAGTTTAAGGCACTACATCCATCGTAACTGTTAAATGCATTTTGCGCGTCAACAACATGAGACGACTGACCTTTAAGCATCTGTGAGAGAGCTGACGAGGTGGATCTCTGACGTCTTTATGGAGCTTGGGAAGCAATTTGTTGCAAGGGCAGGCTATTGCAGAACTCCCATTCAGAAGGATGGTATGCTGTTCTCTGTGATGAGCTGTTTTGTCACTTTCTCATTGACTGCATCAGTCCATCAGTGCAATCTGAGGACGTGACTAAGTGTTCCTCCACTTGAAATTCAATTGCTGTGTTGTGTTGGATTTGTATTCCTCTGGGCTGTATTCACAGCACTGTCGCAGGTCTCTGCATCTGAGCCTGTCGGAACCTGTGTGCTGTACAGTCTGTACGGCCTGAACAGCCTCACCTCACACATGAGGAAG